CTTCCAGTTTAAAAACAATGCTTCTCGAATATAATGTCTTCTAAAATACCCCTGCGTTTTAGTTCCCTTATACCAGAGGAAGGCGTGCCACCCTAACAGCAAGTCATGTCCTTCTGAATTCAAAAGTCTAGTATTCTGTAATGTTATCCACTCCTTTACCCACATCAGACTCATCGCTTGGTAGTATAATTCCCAATTGGGCAAAGCAAATCCTCCTCTTATTCTTGCATCTTGTAACAATTTAAGTTTTATTCTCGCTTCCTTCCCCTGCCAAATGTATTTTATCACTATTTTGTTTAAATCTTCAAATCTTCCCTAATCTGATTGGAATTGTCTGGAATAAGTATAAGATTCTGGGCAATACATTCATTTTAATTGTAGATAAAATCAGTGATAATTGTAAATTTACCCATTTTATCAAATCTGTTGCAATCTATTGTTTAAGTTTGAGATAATTGTCCTCCTTAAGTGTGCTACATCTTGGTGTTATATGTATCCCTAAATACTTTATCTTGTTTGTGACCTGGATCCCCCAAACTTCCTCCAATTCTTTCTTTCGTCTTACTAAAATGTTCTTTGCTAAAATCTTTGTTTTATCTTTATTTATTTTCAAACCTGCTACTTTCCCATACTCTTCTATCTTTTCTATCAGTTTAGGTGCAGACTCCAATGGATCCTCTAATATAAATACCAGATCATCTGCAAAAGCTTGTAATTTATACTCTTCTTTTTAAATTTTCATTCCTTTTATTTCTTTTTCTTCTCTGATGTTCCTATTCAGCACTTCCAGAGTTAACACAAACAACAGAGACAACAGTGGACAGCCTTGTCTGGTCCCTTTTATTATATCTATAAAGTCTGTTAATTCTCCATTTATCATAACCTTTGCAGTTTCTTTAAGATATAGCGTTTCGATGGCTTGAGTAATTTTTTTACCAAAGTCCATTTGGTCCAATTGTAACAGCATAAAATGCCAATTCACATTATCAAAGGCTTTTTGTGCATCTATAAACATCAGAGCCATTTGTTTTTCAGGATGTGCCTCATAGTATTCCAGTGTATCTAAAATTATTCTCATATTATCTTTAATCTGTCTCTTCAGAAGAAATCCATTTTGATCAGGATGAATAAAATTGTTTAAATATCTTTTCAGTCTTTCTGCCAGAATTGAAGCAAAAATTTTCATAATCTGAATTTAATAGTGGTATAGGTCTGTAATTTTTAACATGCTGTGGGTCTGTGTTCTTCTTTGGTACAAGTGTTATATATGCTTCTGACCATGTTTCAGGTATTCTCTTCTTCGTCATAACTTCATTCATAATTTCTAATAAGTGAAGATTCAATGTTTCCTGGAATGTCTTATAAAATTCCACTGGCAAACCGTCCGGACCTGGTGCTTTCCCAATGTTTTGCTTTTTTAAAGCTTGTGTTAATTCCATCATTGTTATATTACTTTCTAACATTGTTTCAATATCTTTGGGTATCTGGGGCAAATTTGCTTTCTGTAAGTATTGTTGAATTATTTCTTCCTGAACATTCTCTTGATGGTACAGTTTTCCATAGTAACCTTGAATTATTTTTTTCTTCTCCGCATTTCCATAGCATACATGTTTTTGTTCGTTTATCAATTGATTTATTCTTCTCGAGTCTCTTTCCTTTCTCAATTTATATGCTAGCCATCTGCTTGGTTTATTTGCATCTTCAAAATAATTCTGCTTAGCATTTCTAATTTTTTGTGCTATTTCTTCTTTTTCTATTAGACCCATTTTATGCTTAGTTGTGTCCATTTTAATGTCCTTTTTTGTGGAAATTTCTGTAGTTCTTTTTCAACTTCTTGTAGTCATCTTCCAATATTTTTTTTAAAAAAATTTGTTTTATATTTCTTTTCCTTGTATAGTTCATTATCAAACCTTTTGTATAAGCCTTCATTGTGTCCCAGAAGCTCTGTAATGATGTATCCTCTTTGAAGAAAAAAGTCAATTCTCTCTCAATTTTCTGTTTAAACTCTTTTTCCTTTAATATCATATTATTTAAAGTCCATCTAGATCTCCTTTTTTGTCTTTTCCATACAAGTGTTATTGGATTGTGATCTGCTTCTATTTCAATGTCTTGTATATTGGAAAGCAATTCTGTTGACATCCATATCATATCTATTCTAGACCATGATGCATGTCTATTTGAGTAAAAGGTATATTGTTTATTTTCCACATTTTTCTCTCTCCTTGCATCTTTTAAGTTTATCTCATCTACCATTCGAAAGAAGGATTTTGGCAATGTCTTTCTAGTTTTCTTTGCTGTTTTTTGTGTTTTCTAATCCAATTTGTTATTTGTTATTCCATTAAAATCTCCCATCAGACAGATATTAGCATATTCCAATTCAATATTTTCTTATGTAATTTCCTGTAAAAATCTACTTGATTATCATTTGGAGCATAAATTGCTATTTAAAGTGTCTTTAGATTATTGTCCATTATCTCCACCATCAAAATCCTTCCATCAACATCTGTATATATTTGTTCCACAGGGATTCTATCTCTAATGTCCTCTCCTATCTCCTCTCTTTTTACAATGTGTTAACACTGTAAATAATTTCCCTAATTTTTGTTGTTTCAATATATAATCATGTTGTTTTTTAATATGTACTTCTTGTAGGCAGATTATATCAAATTTTAATTTCTCTAATTTATGAAATACTTTTCTTCTTTTAATAGCTGAATTAAGCCCATTTATATTAATTGTAATCAATTTTTTCTCATGCATTTTAGACTTTGTAAGAAGGATTTGTTGCTTTGGTAGATCTTGCTTCTCGTTGTTCTCTGGGTACACCACCTAGGGCTCCTTCCTCTTTTTCAATTGCTGCTGTACATTCCTCTTGAAATTCAATTAACAACTCTTCTTTTCTTGTATCTTTCTCCCTTCCTCTAAAATATTCCAGATAGAATAACTCAGCTTTTTCAACTGTATCAATTCTGTGTCTTTGTTCCTGCCAGGTAAACATGAGACCTTCAGGTATCAGCCATCTGTAATTTATTCCTCTCTTAAGTAACTCTTTGGTCAAAAATAAATATTCTCTTCTTATCTCTCTCATTCTTCTAGGTACCTGCTTCAGTACCACTATTTCTTTATCTTTGTACTTTAGTGTTTTTTCTCTTGCCACCTGCAGTATTTGTGATTTTATTATTTTCTTAGTAAATCTGATATGAACTTCTCTTGGCAGCTTATTTCTCATCGCATATCTTGTATAAACGCAAAAAACCTTGTCCATTCCATCCATCATCTTCTCTTTAGTTACCTCTAATGCTTCTGCCAGAATTTCTGTCATCATTTCAACAAGGTTTTCACCCTTTTCTTCTATATTTTGAAATCTAAGATAGAATTCTGATCTCTCAATTTCCCATCCCAATGATTGCAGAGATCTGCCCTTATCTCTTTCCACTTCACTCAATCGGGTATCCATATCCCCAATTTTCTTATCTTTTGTACATCTTGTTCTTCAATTTTCTTAATTCTGTCCTCATATTGCATCATCATCTGTTGAATATTTTCTATTTTTTCATCCGTCTTTTCCATTCTTTGCTCAATATTCTCTGTTCTCTTTTCAATATTATCTGATTTTACTTGTATCTTTTGAATTCCTTGCATAATCATCTCACTTCTTTCTCCTTCTCTTGTTGTAACATCACCTGTATTGATCGTTGTCCTCCAGATGGTGAGGAAGAAGAAGTTGGGATTGAAGAAGCTGGGGCTGATATTTTTCTGCTCATCTTGAAGTACAAAAATAATAAAAAATATAAAGAATCTAAAATTACTAAAAAGAAAAGGCAAGAGAATAAAAAACTTTTCCAAAGAGTTATTTTGAAGGGAAAAATTAAAAATTAAAAAGGAAAGACCAGTCCAGTTTAAAAATTAAAAAGTTTTAACAAAATCCAAAGTTCCAATAAAAAGAAAAAAAAAACCTTCAGGTTTAATTTGTGCTTAATCTCGCCACTTGAACACTTTTATCTTCACTTTTAAATTTAATTTTTAGTCTTTTAGGGTGTTCTCTCCAGAAAAAAAATAAGTAGAAAATTATCTCATCAAACTGACACACTTTCTTTCCAGCTTTCTTCTGTTCCAGAGCTGTCCCAGCTTCAGCAGCTTTAATGGCTGCCTCTCCACCACGGGAAAAAAGGGCTTCTCCTGGACTTTGCAATGTCCCTGAGATCGACAGGATGTGCCCTCCTCTGTCACCATCTCTATGGGATGGTTTAGGTCCATTGGGACCGTCCTGCAATGGAGATATCAGCAGAGATCTTAGAGCTTTAAGATCGCATGCTGTACCGCTGTGACACAAGCTCCCCATTTGGAACTTATTGACCAACATAATTGTTCCACATTACCATAGTACACCCCAAACTATTCTGTGTAGTATTGTTATTGTTAACTATGGCAATCTATGTCCAGTTAAGTCTTCTGTGAAATTTTGGAAGAACTTCAGCAGATATTCCGTTTTCCACCAAAGATATAGTTTCATGGATCACAATCAATCATTTAATATTGCTATTTTTGTATCTGTGAAGTATGGAGAATATAATGTATAGCTTAGACTGTCATGTCATAAAAGTGAAAAATTGGGGCCACTTCATTGAATTTTATACTTATTAATATGTAAATATTAGTTGAACTTTAAACATCTCCAAGAATTAATGTTGGCACATGAATCTTAAACATAGAGTGCCAAATGGAATTCATAACAAATATTTTGTTAACAATCAGTAACAGCTAACCTTTCTTGTACGTTCTAAAAAGTAAATAAATAGCTACATGAGGCTCAACCTATATATGTATGTTTCCACTCCAGAAAATTAATGGTCATAGATCAAATTTCAAGCACCTCTTTGACTTCTTGAAGTATCCTCATTCCAGTATCTATTAATATGAGAAGATTATGCCTAAACTGTAATATTTATATGCTCCATGTGAAGTTTCATACCTACCTTAATACATCAGCAAAGACTTACTTTTGCTTAAACATTGTGATTTGAACTTTAGATTTAAAGGATCCCTGGTATAACTTGTCACAAAATCTGGTATTCCTTGTTCATACTGCAAAGGGAAGGGGGAATAAACAAAGGAATACGATATGGTTTTAATGGCAAGCAACTCTAAAGATGTATTTCATGAACTGTCCTCCAATTAAGCATTCATAATGGTTCATTAGGACAGTAAAAACTTTGTCATACTGACAAGTGGCTTTTCCTTTTTATAACCTCCTGTAATGGTACTCTGATTTGAAATTTAGCTGCTCCCTCTCTTGCTTCCTTTTTAATTTTATTAGTTGGTATTTATTTAGACTTTTTTTCTTGGTTTTTTAAATCTCAAATCTGCATTGGTAGATCTGTTGAATAATTACTCTAAAATTTAGGAACAATTCTCAAATAACCTTACTTTGGGCACATTAAGTGCAAATCTAACTCTCTGGAGAGCTTCTAATGCTAGGAGAGATGGAAGGAAAGGAAGAAGAGGATTGTCTGTGGAGACATTCTCATTCACCAGGTCATAGTTGTCTCAAAGATGCTTTTTCAAAAGGCAACTGGACTGTTTTTCCTTGAGGAAGAAGAAGAAGACATTCTGCTTCTCATCCAAGTAGCTTCATCAGTTGTGATGGTGGGGTGAATGGGGGGGAAGGATGATGGACTAACAGTCAAAACTGCATGGTGGGCGGTGGAAAGATAGGTTTTTAGTATCCTTTTGAAAAAGAGGTAAAAGAGGCCATTCGCCATAGTGAGGGAGGGATAAGGCACAACCTATCTTCAAGCTACAACACGTTCTTTGCAACAGTTCCAGGAAAATTCCATAACCAATTACATTCTGATTCATGTAACCCTGAGGGCTAAGAGTGGCCTCAGGAACTCTCAGGGAGAATGCTAACATACCAGATCAGTGCAAAGAAATAAAATCCTTCAATTTTCCTCCCACACCATCTGGTTAGAATGTATCTTTCCATCCTCCACTATTCAGTCTCAACTGTCAATACCTATCCTTCCATTCCTCCTCCCCAACTACCCTCACAACTGATGAAGCATCTTGGATGTTCTTCTTCCTTAAGGAAAAAA